CTAATATTATAACATTATCAATTTTCAATATATTAATAATTATTTATATTGGTAATATTAATTTTATTTTTATAAAAATTTAATGATCTATAAAAAAATTAATTATAAATATATTATCATTATTATACAATACACGTAATTTTATATTTTACCCTAATAACCTAATCAACATTTAACGCATCACATATGTACCGCGCTGCAGCCGCACCAACGACCGGGTTATCCACTTTCTCTCTTTTTCTCTTCTTTTTCTACGCCCTGTGCAGGTGAGAAATTAAAAAGAAAAAAAGAAAAAGCCCAAACCACCGATTCAAACAGTAAACCGGCGGTTCACGGTTTGGGGAAATGACAATATGGCATGGTGCTCCCGTGTTGAGCCACCATTGTTTCTTGTTTGATCCCACCAGATTTACCTCAGAGACAATACATGTCAGTCGAGTGACTCTTCATCTTTAATAACGACGTGTGCATGACTCATCTCTTTCTTTTTTTTCAGCGCCTTGAAGTCTATCGAACGGTGTCCGACCTTTCCACAATTGAAAGAGTTACCTTTGAAGGTACTTTTTGCCTTTTCAATGCCGTCAGATGGTTTCAACTTCTCTTTTCCCTTGTCCGTTGGCTTCTAGTTCTTTCCAGACTGCTCATTGTTTTCCGGAACAGTCTTGAAACTAGAGCCTTGGCCTTTGTGTTCGACCACATTGGCCTTACTGCCGAGCATTAGATGCCCCTTGCTTGCCAAGTTTGATCTATGCTCCTCTACAGTTTGGAGACGATTGATCAGTTTCGCCATAGCCATTTCCTTTCGTTCGTGTTTCAAATAAATCTTGAAATCACCTCGACTAGGTAGCAATTTTTCAATTATCGTCGCCACTTGAAAGGCTTCACTTAGCTCCATTCCCTCAACCTGGATCTCATGCAGATTCAGCTAAAACGCATCAAACTGTTTCGTAATGCTTTTTCCATCGACCATTTTGAAATCCAGAAACCGTCCGACGATAAATTTCTTTGCACAAGCATCTTCGGTTATATACTTTTTCTCCAGCGTCTCCCATAGCTGATTAACCGTTAGCGCATTCCGGTAGACACCGTACAGGGAGTCGCTCAAGCCGTTCAGTATATAATTTTTGCACATAAAGTCTGAACGGTTCGAGGCTTTCAGAATTTGTGCTTTCTGTTCTTCCGGAAATCCTTCAGGCACAACAGGTGCATCATCTGTCAGCCAATTTTCCAGATTCAGTGTCGTCAGATAAAACAACATCTTTTCCTACCATGTTTTAAAATTCTGCCCGTTGAATTTTTCTGGCTTATCGGCTGCCACAGCAACAGGCTGCATTATATGGTCCGTAACAGAAACAAGATGTATACCCCCCAACTCGTCTAGTTGCTGTCCGGTAGATGCAACGAGACCTTGCGTAAGTCCTATAGCCATACGCTGCGGACGAAGCAGAACAACAACAGACTGTTTCAGTCGAGCATCAACAGGATGCCGTTTCTGCAGTCCAGCAACAAGCTGGTTGAAGATAGCAGCAACAGGCTGCGCCCCATCCGTCGTGGCCTTGAAGGTCTGTTCGTACTTTGTCTTTGCATCTTTTTCCGTAGAAGCCCTCCTGGACGCCTCGCGTGCTTCACGCCTGGCAGTAGCGATTTCAGCGGCTTCACCGGTTGTGCGGGATGGTTGAGATAATGAAACCGTAGAAGCGGGAGTGTGAGACTCGCTGGAATTCACCTCCTCATTCTTGTCTCCGTCTGCACCATTCTAAACGTCATCATTCTGATCATTCAGATTTCTGTAAGGATCGTTCATCGCGTTGATCATTGTTTCATCTTCAAGTACGATCTGGGCAGCCGCAATGCAACAACAATTTGATTGTGGATCTGGGGAATTTTGTCAGTCATCTCAGATTTCACCACGCGAATTCGCTTCAAGATTATTGGAGAAATCAATAGAGAATCCGAGATGTGACAAATCAGATCACCAAATTTGATAACGAGATCGAATATCATATTTAAATAAATTTGAGCCTCGCGTAGCACACGATTTCTGTGAAGCGAATTCGGTCTCTCTACCGATTGCCTCCCAGGATAGAACAAATTCTTTACGGAATAACAGATTCTGCGAACCGAAGTAGAAAGCTTTTTTGGAGAGAAAAAAGGTAGAGAGAAATTAAATTTTTAGGGAGAATTTTTTCAGATGAGAGTATTTTTCATAGAAAAGAGTTATTTTTCTCAGATGTTTTAATCGTGAGTTTTTAAATAGGAGAAAAATAAATTAAAATCATGTTTTTGGGATTATTTTTGTTTTAATCACGTGAAGAGAAAAATGTCAATCTCGCACCCACTTTTGCACGTTGCAATTCAATTGCAACAATAATATTTTATCTGATTATTTGATTTTCTAAGTCAAATTAAATTAATAAGATAAAATAATAAAATACAAAATTAATTTTATTGTTATTGGGCTCAACTCGTGTGGCCCACGAGCCCCAAGGCCCTATCTTTGACTATTAATTTAGCCAAAGTCGAAGCTTAAATAAGCCCAAGCCCAAGCAAGCTCTAGTCCAAACCAATTTTGTCATTTATCATAAGTGGGATTGATATTCATATAAAGAGACATAAAATTTTTCATGTTTTTAATGTGGGATAGCCTTTTCATTTTCCTCTTTCATATTTTAAATACCCAACAATTCCCCACATGAAAGAGGAAAGACGATGACTCGATGAAAAAAGATGAATTCTACATGGGATAAGTAAGTTTTCTTTTCAACTTTCATTTTAGCAGTATGTAGTCTTTACCAACTGTCTAATGGACAAGTTGTCCTTGAACTATTTAGTATTTTAGTAAGTGAGTTATATACTGATACAGAATTCATGTATCTAGTTCGGTTCTCATAGTTTGGTTCGTTTTGGCCATGGAGCTCGTCCTGGTTCTACAAGAGTTTCTAAAGAACTAAGTCTGAACAGTTCTCTTTTGAAGCGACCTCACTTCTCTCTCATATATGTGATCTTTCTAAGTTTTCGGGTAATATAACTCTTATTTAGTGATCATTAAAGCAATCATTTGCTATTCTTCTTACTCTGTCATCGTTTGCTGACAGGAATGGTGACGCACATAAGTCTTACAGGGAGATTGCCTATTGAACCTAGTTCTTAGGATCTTCAATCTTTATAGGTTGGGTTTTCTTTTATAAGACTTATATTTCACCAGGCTTGAGCCACATTTCTCTAGTCAATTTGTAAACTGCATCACGGTTTAACTCTCTGGTTAGCGGATCCGTTAGGTTATCTTTTGACGCAATATGATCTATCGAAATAACCTTAGTTTTGATCAGTTGCCTTATGGAATTATGTCGACGACGAATGTATCGACTCTTTCTATTGCATATTATACTCTCTGCTACGTTAATAGCAGATTTACTATCGCATTAAAGAGTTATGGCAGAGATAGGTTTGTCTCACTCTGAAATGTCCTCGAAAAAGTGGCGAATTCATTCCGCCTCTTCTCCATCTTTATCTAAGGCCCTATCTTTGACAATTAATTTAGCCAAAGCCCAAGCATAAATAAGCCCACGCCCAAACTAGCTCTAGCCCAAACTAATTTTGTCATTTATCATAACTTCATAAATGTGATCGATATTCATATAAAGAGACATAAAACTTTTAATGTTTCCAATATAGGATATCCTAATTCTGTAGATAATGAAAATGTCTCTTAGGTAGCATCAGAAGTGCACTTGATATCCTAGAGCATGTGAGGATGAAATAAGATGTGTTTTAGAATTGGGAATCTTCAAGAAATTTGGGAGCATTGATTTATTCAATGGAGCTTTGATTGTATTTCTTCGAATATTTTTATAATAAATCTCGAATTGATTGAAATTCTAAATGTAGGTTGGTGTAGCCGAATTGAATTAATATTTGCTTGTCTTTTCTATTCTCTGAGTTATCATTGTGTGCATAGAGTGTGATCTTATATCTCTTTGGAGGTGAATTGTTGATGCTCCTAAGAATTTAATTGAAATTGGGAAAAACACTTTCAAAATAATTTAAAATACAAAATATAAATAAAAGTAAATATCTATCATTTTTCATCAATCTCACAAAAATATATATATATAATTCTATTACTGCCTCACTCCGAAGCATATTTAAATATATTAATATTTAATAAATATGTAGTGTAATAAAATAATGTAAAATTTATTTTATTTTTGGCATTAATGAAATTAGAAAAATATAAACAATAAAATAAAAAATATTTTTATATTTAATTGAGAGATACTTTTACTAAAAAAAATAAAACAAATAACTTCGATTTAGACAAACAAAAATTGTAAAATAAATACTTTTAACTTGGACAAAAATTATAATAAAAATTAATGCCAAAATATTTTTAATTTTTATATAAATTACAAACAGATGATCAATATTTAAATATTAATACAAACAAAATTTTATGTTATTATATAATACAAATTTGTCAAAACATTCGTACCACAGTAACCAATAAAATACTTTTTGCCTTGCCAAAGTAGACATTTTTCATTTAGAATTGAAGCAACTAATTAATACTTTCAATTTCTAACATATATCCCCTCCCAATTAACAATTCTCCTCATTTTTATCACTATTTACCAAAATACCATCTCACAATATACATAAACTCAAGATTACTAGTGATAATTATATCTTACGTTAATCTATCATCAATATAATACTATTATTTTTTTAATATACTAAAAAAAACAAAATAAAAAGATAACTATTTAAGTGGACAAAGAAAATATTATTCTTTAATCTAATAAAAAAATAAATATATACATTTGAACTGCTCTAATTAGGCCTGTCTTTATTCGTTTGGGCAGGTCTAAGTACTAAAAACCTCTAAATCCAAAAAGACTTCAAAACACAAAATCACCAACCAATTATGCACCTATATACACATCCATAGACACATACAACCCTAAGTACAATTCTACAAAGTTTCCGGCAAATCGCCTGCATCATCGACAAGTCCGAAATGTCGGCATTCAAGCAAATATATAACAAAAACAACAAAGAAACCAGTCTGTACAGTTGAGAGACAGATGCAGTGCAAGTTCAAACACAAGATCATACACGCACATCTGCTTGTCTATACATACATACACATATATATATTACATGTTCGATATCCCGATATGCATATGATATATATATATAGTTCTGTAAGAGAACCAGGGGGGTGGGGTGGGGTGGGTTGGGGGAGACCAACTTACAATCGCTTCGCCTTGCTGTTCAAGGCCGTGGATTTGCATATGGGACAAGTATTCTTTAGGACCAACCATTTTGTTATGCACTCCCGGTGATATTCGTGGCTGCAGTCGAGGGTTCCAATTGTTGCTCCACTTTCATAATCAGTCTGCGTAGAATCATAGGTCGGTTAGTTCATAGCCAGGGATAATTTTTCAGCGGATGTAATATTAAGAGGTTTTACTCGACCAGCTACTCTTGAAGTTTTGGTAAAGATTACAATGGGATTCTATTTAATCGAGTCGTCCGCACTTTTCAAGACCAACTATGCTATAAAATCGAATATATTCGTAGAAAGACATGATGAAACCAATCACCCTATTGTATTAATTGAGCCGATAATATGTAGATTACGGCCCTACACCTTACTTTTTGTTTCTTCGACAGAAGACTCGCATATCCATCCCAACTAATTTGTAAAGTTATACTTCAGGCATTAACAGTTAATAATTTTAAGATCAGCGAGACAGAATTCAAGTAGAGAATGGAAAACGAGTAAATAATATCAAAACATAGTTCCATCGTATAGGAAGCTGGGCATATATATATATGTATATATATGTACTATACGTGCACAGACCTGGCACACGACGCAAAAATTGATCTTTCCCTGGTCGTGGCAATTTGCATTCGCATGTTCAGTTTCGACACAAGCATTTGGGGTGGTAAAAATTCTTGCTTTCATATTATTTTGAATGAATTCCTCAGTTAACCCCGTGCCAACACTCCCGATGTGTTCTCCCAATTCAAGAAGTTCCTGTCACATAATCTCACAATCAAAATTTAAATCGAACACTTACAGATACAGAGCATTGAGTTCCAAGTGAAGCTGTCTAAGTTCTTGTTCACAAAGAAACACTTCTTTTTTTTTTTTTTTTCAATCAAGTTGCTCGACAACTTGGTTCTCTACTTAACTGCGTTAATCATATCATTCTAGTGACCTTGAGCCTGAAAAACTCTAAAATTTATTAATTGCCCCCAAAATACTTTAGTTGGCATCATATTGTCAACTTTTTTTTCAAAATATTACATTGTATAGGATGTACTCAAAATTTTTATTTCTATCACTCTTCAATAAATAAATATATTTATATATATTCAAAATTTTCAAACTTCTTATAAAATGAATTTAAGTTAATTATAGATAAATACTTTTTATTTTTGATTGATTTGTATTATATAAAACTCTATAATAATATCTATATTGTATATATTTTTATTTAAATATAAATATTAAAATATATTAATCATATACAGCGTAAATTAAATATTAATTAAAACCGACCAAACTTCCAACTTGAAACCAACCACACTAACCAAACACCATAACACACCCTAATAAACCAAATGCACACAACTAACTGAACCAAATAGGCACAAGTCAATGGGGCTCAGTGAAATTGGTAAATTTATAATATTCAGTTAAATAATTGTCCATTTCAATAGAATTTTTCAAAATTTTACTCTTCAAGTTGTATTCAAAATGTAAGTTCAGCTTGGCTATCAGCTCTACCTCTACATAACTGCTTAGAACAACATAATGGCGAAACATATTTAATAGAGGGTAAAAAAGAGCAGACTTAAATTTCCCTGACTACCTCATATGACATGTGATCGATATCCAATCTCATATCCCTGTGTTGATCAACAGAAGCTTCTGCTTCACGATAATCATGAAACTCAAGTATAGCAACTTCCTAGAAAAGAGAAACCGTATGAAACATTAAAGTTTTGCGAAAAAGAAAAATGTGTTGCGGTGAGATCAATATAACTTGATAATGAAATAAAATTGAAAAGTAGTGAGTAATTACATCTTCAGGCAAAACTCTCAAGTGCGGATGATTGCGTTGTCTTGCATTAGGATCCATTATGATTTCCCTTTGCTGAGGCTGATGGAGCCGGAAGACTGTCGGTGGAATGGGAGCTAAAAATGTGGGCACACCATCCACACCTTCGCGGAAAGGACCAACGCCAGCATTCAAAGAATTCAATGTTGAAGTCCTGTGTGAAGACGTAGCCACCTGTGACAGGTAGTTACTGTAGTTACCTCTGAACGCTTGCATAGGCGGGGTTGGATGAGTAGGACTAGAATGGGCCCGAGCAACAGGAGGGTGCAGAAAACCAGCAGCAGTTCTGTTGATAGCTGTTGATTGATAACCTTGCAGGCCGATATTCCCAGCTTCGACACAAGCTCCATTTACACCACCTGATACGAAAAAAGTTCAGATTCAAGGCAAATACTGATCCAATCTGGTGCAGAAGTTATATTTGTAGATAGTTACCGTGCACATATGAAAAATTAGGAGGCTGTGCTGTCCATCCGAAAGTGCCAATATCACCATTCGTTGCACTGAAATGCATATTCAACCAAGGGTTTCCGGGAAAGTGTACAGGAGGAGAAACATAATTTCCGTGAATAATGGTACTTGCAATATGTGAGAGGGCAGGTTCAGATCGAATCAAAGCATCTCTGTTCCTAGCACCCCTCCACGATCCATTTTCAGTAGCTGATGATGGATCGGTCCCAAGATATTCCGGAGGAGGAAAAGAAGCGGAATCCATCTGAGAAATGTCTGGTTCGCACACAGGAGCGACAGAAAAACTAGGGCCTGCTGAAGCATTTTGATACTGGTGATTTGAAGAAGCCCCCTCGGCAAGTTTCCTTTTGAATAACCTGAAATCTTCCATGTGGCTCGCGTTTTGGAAGTAACCTTCTACCGAAATACAAGCAATTTAGCAAGTGATAGAAAGGGATATCAGGTCATGTGCTTCACAACTGATATAAACATGAAAGAGAAAAAAACAAAGAAAATCTAATACCTGTCAGGGGTCCCATATATGGATTGTAATGTCGAGATGATGCAGCAACAGCTAAATCTAGGTTTGCCGGCGGGTGCTGAGGTTGCATGCCATTGTAAGGTGGTATACCATAAACTAATGCACCGTCGTTGTGTCCTGGCACCGGATGAAGGTTAAAATTACACTGGATTGCAGGTACAGGAACTATGGAGTGATGCTGGGGATGGTTTGCCACACTCCCGTAAAAGACGCATGGATCGGTCTGTACATGGTGACGGCCTTGCTGATCCGTCTCTGAGTCAATCACATGACCAAGGAACTGAATGTTTCGGTGCCCCATTTCGAATGAGATACCTGTGCATCACATATTCGAGACTTAATTGAACCAAAATTAATAATATATGTACAAACACCCAAATATTGCACTGAAAAACTGTCCTAAACCTATTACATTTGGAACTATCGCTCATTAGTGAGAAGGAAGCGAATTCCAAAGGGATGATAGGATTGATGCAACATAGCTTCTCCCCTCAGGCAACCCAACAGCTAAAATAAAAATGCGAATGACTGTTATAACTTAGGGTTAATTGAAAAGAGGCACTTTGTCATTAATTATTATTTTATTTTTTATTATTTCTCTTATTATTTTATTTTCTATTTAGTTCTTGAATTATGAGGCTTGGGATTAGTCCATGAGCCCGCTTATATATATGGCGCATCTAGATTAACCAAAACCAAAATAATAACGACCTCCCCTAACCTGATCTAGACGCACCCTATCTATAGGCGGGCTCATGGATCAATCTCAAGAGTCATAATTCAAGAACTAAATAGGAAATAAAAATAATAAGATAAATAATAAAAAAATAAAATAATTATTAATGACGAAGTGCCACGATCAATCCTAGGTGAGTACGGTCCTTCCTCTCCCTTCTAGTATAGACTTTGACCTTATTTGATTCCGTAACAAATTAACAATGAACACAATATATCGCAAAGACAAATGAATTTTACACATAGGCTATGCTTACTTCTAACGATAATATATTTGTGTTATTAATTATAAGTAAACTAGAATTGAGATTATATTATCATTAGAGCTAAGCATTACTTGAGAGACATTCTTCTAGACATTGACAATTGCAAATCGCTTAATATTTTGTGTTTCTAACAATTTCAGTTTTTGAACTCTCAACGATTAATATAATCGCAAAGACATACCATTTCCCTTAACACAGACTATTTGAGAGATCAATGGTTCATTCTCCATAAGAAAAGAAGAAAAAGCCATCCGAGAGTAAAAGTAGACTAGAAAATAAATGTCCCAACATATATGGCTAGGCTGAGTCAAAATCCTATAAATGTTTCAAAAAACCACCACAATAAGGTTCTCACCTACAGGACAATTGGGTGGGTACTTCAATACGCCAAATTTCCCAGTTCAAAAATGTAAAAGAGATAAAAATTTATGCAAAATTGAGGAGAAAACTTTGTTGATGTAAAGTACAATTTGATGGAACAGCACCTTCAGATCACAAATTTTCTTCTAACAACACCGACATACGAATTCAAAATATCAGACAAGTAGAAGATAAAAGGCAAAGGACATGATTTATGACAATGATAGAGTACTTTCCAAAATCACATTTTTGGCCATTACCACTTTATGCCAAAGAGTTAACAAAATCAAAAGTAACCGAATACGGAATTGCCAGATGTCTCGAAGTTAAACAGAAAGTAGGTAAAACTTTTTCGAAAATGTGGGTCCCAAAGCTTCTCGTAGATTGGACTTTTAACCATATAGATCTAGAGTCATATAAAGAAACTAAGTTATATACTACACAACGGCGGAAACAACTTCAGTAAGCCCAGAATAATGTAGTTGCAACTAGATGAGAACTACCCAAACAATCCTTACAGAAAAAATAAAGCAAAAAAAATGCTGCATCCAAAACGGAAAAACAACCTGATTCAGAAAATAATGATCAATCAATATTTATAACAAATGTTTAAAATGTTATCAAAATTACCTGATGCAACAATTCTCTGCATTCAAAACTTGTACCTCAATCATACAAATATATATATACACACAGTACACACACACAAATATACATATATCTTCTGTATACAATGCAAGTTTACATTCTTCCTCGACCAGAAATCAACCAGGGAAATAAGAAAAACCCACCCACCCAAAACCATTAATATTCTTCATTGAATCATGGCCAGGCAGGAAATGCATAATGAAGAGAATCAAAAGAGTCATCAAAGCTGGAACCAAAAAAAAGGCTAACCTTTTTACCATGAAAAGCCCCCAAATTTCTCAATTCTCAACCCTCAATTCTCTCCAGAAATTAAATAAATTAAATTACTCGTAGCTCCTGCAAAAATGGAAATTAAAAAATAAAATCAACAAAAAGGGGGCAAAAACCCTAACATTGAGGCATTCATAAAAAACTGATCAATCATCCCCGAAACCATCACGAAACAGCAATTCGAGCTAGACACTATCCAAAAATGAGGAATGTATCAATTTCCCATACGAATTCGAGCGCAAAAACACGAACACCAAAATTAATTTTTTTAAAAAAGTCCAAAAACAAAATACGAAACGGCAAATCAAAACGCGATCATAAATATCCAAATATTACAACCAAATTGAAGGACGAACTGAGGAGAATGGATGAGGGATCCGTATCAGAAACGAAGGGAGACGAATTCTCCGCAATTCAACAGACAAAAAGAAAGCTTTGATGGAGAAATCACCTGTGAATATATATATATATCTATATTTTGCCGTATCGCTCTGTGTAATGCCTTTTCTTTATTTCCTCGTGCCTATTTATATTTCTACCGTTAAACTGCTACAAGTCAATTTTGTGAAATATCATTTATGCCCTCGACTTGGGCTCCAATTCTCGTGGGTGCCCCCGGGTTGTGTCGCTTGGCCATTCTTCAAGCAAGGCTATTTACGTCATTACGCCTGTTGCCTCGACTGTAACGCCAGAAAACAATTTAACATTGGCTTTGTTCATTCTCCTATTATTTCCTGCACGATTAAAAAAAAAACAATTAATATACTGTAAATATTTTTTTATTCCGTCCCATATAATTTGTTCGTATTTTTTATTTTTGTCTATTTTACATAATTTATTATTATTTTTTAGAAATTTGATTATCCATTTTAATCGCATTTTAAATTTTAAATTTTATAATTTTTTTAATCTTAATTAAACTATTTACTTCTCTTAATCTTAATCTATAATTATTTTTACTAATACATTTTTTAATTACCTACTAATCATACTTTATCTGAATTCTCGTATATATATTTACTATACAATTATTTCTTTTACCTCACAATTTTTTTTTTAACAATCTCACAAAACAAATACATAATATTAACTTTTTAAAAAAGAAATATGACTTAATTTTTTAAAATTTTTTATACAATTTTCATTTTCAGTATAAATAGTATATTTTATTTTTTTATAAAAAAATTAATATTTCATAAAAAAATATTAGTATTTTTATATTAATGACATAATTTTTCGTATCTTATATAAGAAATTTTAAACTAAAACACTCAAAAAAACACAAACCCTATATCATTATAATATAATTTAGAGTATTTACTTTATTCGTTATAATTCAAAATATTATTTTTATCAATTTGGTTGTCTCATTTTAAATTATTCATTTTCTATTTTACAAAAAAATAATCATATGTTAATAACAAAAAAATTTTAATTTTTATTCAAATTTCAACATAATATTACACAAACAAATATTTTATATATATAGTCAAGACAAAAATTTATAAAAAATTCTTACATACTTCTATTAACTAATAAAATATTATTATTTTTTAATTTATTAAAAAAAAAAAAAAAACTCAAAATGCCCCTATGATTTGGGACGAAAGGAGTATTTGTTTTGGGTCTATTTTTTTAGATTTGAGTTAAAATCTAAATAATACTCCTTTCCATTTCAAGACATTTTTTTTAAATTTTTATTTTACTTTAATAATTGATATTTTTTTATTTCTGATTAAATTCACTAAATTAAAATATACTTAATAATTATAAATCAACTTAATTAAGTACATAACATATAACATTTTACATAAGAACTCACTCAAAATTCCTTTGTTTTTTATTATCTATATTTAAAACTTCACTTTTTTTAAAAAAAATTAATTTATGTTAAATATATATATAAATATTTTTTTATTGTATTATAAAAAAAATATTCTTTATAAAATAATATTCATAATGCATATAATTTTTTTTATATCGATATAATCTTTAAAATATTTAAATTCACATTCTATTTTTTTTGTAATTATAAATATTAAATTTATTTTAATACACCATCCCCCGAAAATACACCATTGCAGCAGGCGCCAGTCCTTGGAGAACCTATGGAAGACCACCGAGTTCGTTTCCCATAATAGGGATCTACTTATCAAGTTTTCCCACAGCCGGTGTTACACAATCCATTGTCCGTTCAAGCAGCTTCCGAACAGCCAGGGGGGCAGGCAAAGATGGTGTCGCTGCCACATCCCATCATAAATTCACAGGTAATCGAAGATGTGATTCATACGATGTATGATGATCGTCAAAACAAGGAGTCGGTCGAGTAGTTCTTGGAACAATTCAGGAGGGCAGATTCTAGATGCCATGTTCGTGTACAAGAGGACCAGGTGGTGAATGTGACGATAAATAACACGACGCACCAACTACACGATAGGTTGACTCTCCAGGAGTGTCACGCTTTCGGTAGTCGATGTCCAAAGCTGCGAAGGCCGAACAACTCATAAAAGAGGCTTAAGCAGCCTGGAATCATAATTTTCAGAGCGGAAACCACCTTACTCATTCCAAGGGAGAAGTTGCCGAAGCCGAGGATGAATCGAATGAGACTTTTCTGGCTAAATCCCAGAGAGAAATCATCAAAGAAGGCTGCCTCAAGCTAGCCGAAAAGCCTTATATGAGAGTAGACACAGAGTCTTTCCCTACGCCAATAAACATTGTTGGAATGCGTCTATCCAGGTCCAAAAAGTCAAACTTAGGGCTTGGTGCAAATGGCAGAGGAACAGACCTTCAAAAGCCAGTGTTTGAAAGGCTTGGAAGGTCGATCAAACCTTCGAAGAGGAGTTCGGTGTGGGATAGACTTTGCCCCACAAACACGGTTGCGGAAGTAAGTTTCGAAAATGGAGGTGAGGTTTGGCGAGTGACCTCCGTGGATCAAGTGGTAATCACACCCCATCAGACTCGTCTTCCTGGGAAGGCTCCAGACGACGGAATCTGGACAAGGAACTGAAATGAGCAGATGATGCGACCTCCTACTATGACTCAAAAGAGGATAATGCAGCGACAACGCTTCGTCGCTCTCTTTTTCCAAGAGTACCAGGCTGGGGGGCAGCAGACTGATGACCACGAAGATTAGGTCAGGGGGCAGTAGCCCCAGGACTCAAAAAAAGTTGTTGCTGGACGACCGAAGTTTGGTCGCGAGGACCTTCGTCACCAACTTCAGGCCCAAAAGAAATGGACACCAAAAGGAGTTTTTGCAAGGGTTGAATACCCTACCGAACCTCACTTTATTGTGACACTAGGGGAGGATTGGATTTTTGAAAGTGAGCCGATGATCGGTACTCTTGATTACGATGAGACGTCGGAGGGTAGTTTGGACATTAATGTCTCCGACCAGGACCTCGAACGAGCTTTGTATCGTGAGGGAGATCTCAAGGTCAATAAAATAGAGGTGTTACCTCGGAAATTTGAAGCCTCTCAGGTCCAGTCCGATTATCTTTAGGGGGATGTGATGTTGGAAAGAGCTGGTCCATTATATTGGGTGGAGCAAGATTCCGACATTCCGAAAGAAGGTCCAAAACCAGTAATCTTTCAGAAATTAATGGACAAAAGTACGCGTTATTTGAAGCCTTTGTTTCCCACCGTACATCTTGACGGGCGGACGGTCAACAAGGTCCTAGTCGACGGGGGAGCTTCCGTCAATGTCATGACTTTATCTACCCTAAGGAAGATCGGGAAAAATAGAAACCATCTCGTCCCGACCACTATGCGAATGACCGACTTTACTAGAAATACGCATACGGCAGTAGGCGCATTGGTGGCGTAATTGACAGTTGGAACAAGGACGGACCAGATGAATTTCTTCATCATTGAAGGGAAGCCAACTTATTCGGCCATCATCGGGAGGGACTGGATCCACACTACTCAGTGTGTCCCTTCAACTTTGCACCAAAAAGTTATGTTTTAGAACAAAGACCAGGTCAAGATGGTGGAGGCCGAGACTGATCCAGCCATGAAGATGCACTCCGCAGAGGCCGTTTATTATTCCCCTAAGGTATACTCGTTGTCCATGATGTTGGAGGACGCTGAAATGTGGAAAGAATGTAACCTAACCATGAAAAGGTTCGAAATCAAAGTCGAGGCCAACGCACGGCCTAATAATTCAGGTATTTATTATGTCTGACATCCTGATTTTACAAGATTTGGAGGCAAGAGTAGGCAGGTCTAGATGTCCATTTATACTGGTTGGAACTCATGCCGCTCAGCCTCTTGACGGGCAGGAGGGGACATTCTCCCAACCGCCGATTTGTGATAAAGACGAAGAGGATATCCACTCATCGATTGAAAAAGCTGCTCCGCCTTTCGAAGCGCAAGATCCATTGGAGGAGTTCAACTTGGGGGATGAGACAGCCCCTTGGACGACAAGGATCGGCGCCTTGCTAGATGTCGAGAAGAACAAGCAAATGATTGCTTTGATTCGAGAATTCAAAGATTATTTCGCATAGGATTACGATGAGATTCCAGGGGCTACCAAGGAGCTTAGTGGAGCATCAATTACCTACTAAAGCTTAGTTTCGGCCGCACAAACAACTCTCTAGGTGTTTCAACCCGGAATTATTGCCGAAAATGAAAGAGAAGGTAAAAAATTTCCTTAAAGCTAACTTTATTCGAATATTCAGGTACACCGAGTGGATTTCTAAAATTGTTCTAGTTGTGAAGAGGAATGGAAATATCCGGATTTGAATTGACTTCCAAAATCTCAATTTGGCAAAGCCGAAAGATAAATACGTGATGCCCATCGCCTACATGCTCGTGGATTCTATGGCTAGAGACAAGATCCTCTCTTTTATGGATGGTTACTCTGTCTATAATAAAATATACTTGGTTGAGGATGACGCTCATAAGACAGCTTTCCGATGTCTCGGAGCAATCGAAATCTCGAGTGGATAGTAATGCCCTTTGGGCTCAAGAATGCCGGAGCGACCTACCAAAGGCGATGGACACAATTTTCCACGACCTGATCGGTGTTTGCATGAAGGTATACATAGATGACGTGATCGTGAAGTCCATAGCATTCGATCACCACCTGTTGGACCTTCGGAAAGCCTTTATGCAGATAAGACAACATGACCTCAAGATGAACCCAACAAAGTACGCTTTTGGAGTACAAGCAAGGAATTTCTTAGGCTTTATTGTCCATCAAAAGGGAATTTAAGTTGATAAAAATAAGGCCAAGGCTGTCTAGGACCTTGGGCCCCCACGCAACATTAAGGAATTGCGGAGCTTGATGAGGAATGCCAATTTCTTGAAGAGATTCATCGCCAACGCTGCAAGGAGAACGAGGGCCTTCTCGGTGCTGTTGTGTGGGAATAAAGACGTGTTCGAGTGGGGAACAACCCAACAAGAAGCCTTGGACCAGATTAAGCAGGTGTTGGCATCTCCTCCGCTGTTAATGCCGTTAATCAGAGGAAAGGAGCTGAAGCTGTACACAGCCGCGACAAACGACACGACGGGCTGTACATCGCCCAAGACGATGATGAAGGCCAGTCCTCAGAGGCCGTTTAGTTAAATGGGCGCTGAAACTAGCATCGTTCACATTAACGTACCAGCCCCTTAAGACCGTGACAACTTGGTTGGTGACCTTTGATGGGTCTAGCACCTCAGGAGCAGCCGGAGCAGGCGTGGCGATCTTCTGTCCAAAAGGAGAAGTATGGCACTTTGTCCACCAACTTTCGCAAGGTGTCACGAATAACCAAGCCGAGTACGAGATGTTGCTATTAGCATTGCGATTTTTGGTCAAAAAGAACGCTAAGAAGGTTGTTATTTGAGGGGATTTTCAGTTGGTTATTTGACAGGCCCTCAAAGAATTTAAGTGTAAAGAATAACGACTTTAGGACCTTCTTCGAGAAACCCACGACCTTCTTCAGCAACTCACGGAGGTGACGTTGGAGGACATACCTTGGAAAGAGAATTTAGAGGCAAACGACTTGGCGTAATGGGCTTTCGGGTTTAAGAGAAAAAGAATACAACCAAGATACGAATGTTTGCAAATTGACCATGACCTAGATTGGCGAATCCCACTGCTGGAAGGCCTAACAAACCCAGGGAAGGTTGCTTCAAAAGTAGTGCGCCATTAGCTTTTAAAATACACTCAAATCGATGGGAGTTGTATCGACGGAGATCCGATGGGACTTTAGCACATTGCCAGGGTCACGAGGATGCTATGAAGGTCATGGTCGAGGTCCAAGAAGGTGTTGGAGGTGCTCATAAGGCTGGACCCGCTATGAAGTGGACAATTTTCTACTATGGCTATTTTTGGTCACAAATCTCGCAAGATTGAGTGGATTATATGCTCGAGGATGTCCAGCATGTCAGCGTCATGGACCACTTCGACATGTCCCCGTGGAAGAACTTCACTTAATTATCAAACCTTGACCTTTCCGTGGATGGGCAATGGATATTATCAGTAAGATTCATCCTTCATTTTCCAAGGGACATTCCTTCATCCTCGTGGCCACCGACTACTTTACGAAATGAGTGGAAGTTGTTCCATTGGCCAAGGTACAACATAATCACATTATACGTTTTACTAAATTTACAAGTTTGGTATTCCAAAGATGATAACCACCGATCAAGAAACCACATTTACAAGTGCGAAGGTCAGGGCCTTTACGGCTCAGTATGGGATCCAACTACTTCACTTCTCCCCTTATTATCTTCAGGCTAACGGAAAAGCCAAAATGACAAACAAAGTTTTGATTTCTATTATCAAGAGGGCGTTGGAGGACAATCCGAGAGGTTGGCACGATACTTTGGAGGAGGCACTATGGACATATAGGAATGTTAAATCCTTTATAATCGGCAGCATCCCTTACAGGCTGACCTACGGCCATGACGATGTGCTTCCGTTAGAGATTATAGTGTCTTCTCTCCAAATTTTGGAAGATGAACCAGCTGCCGATGGAAGAGCAGGACCAGACTTTCTCCAGGAGCTCGACGCTTTGCCCGAAGAGAGACTGCAAGCTCTTGAACGCATTCAACATAAAAAAAATGAAGGCTGAATCGACCTTCCGAAAACACGTGAGGCCTCATACCTTCCAGGAATGTGACATGGGCTTGAAGACCGTCCTCTCAGAAAGCCTCAAAGATGCGAAGCTTGGAAAGTGGTCCCCCGCATGGGAAAGGCCGTTTATTATATCGGCCAAGTCATCTAACGGCGCATATAAATTGATGGAGCCCGAAGGGGAGGAACTGAAGATGTTTATTAATGAAAAATATTTTAAAAAGTTCCATATTTCTCTTTAGAAGCTGAAAGGAAAGTACAATCAGATTGTGGTTGACTACAACCTTACGAAAGGCAAAAACATGTTGAACAGGCCGAATAAGCAAAAATCGACCTTCCCGAATGCAGATCTTGGATGTTGGCTATCAGTGGATAACCAGAAGGTGGATATAGCAGCGAAAATGAGATTTTGGAGGTGAGAATGACCTTGGTGCTGGACATGATCCGACACGGATGAGTTGGCTATGATAAAAAATTTAAAACTCGCACGCACCAGTCGATTCAAACACAGGGGAGTTTTAACAAAATTATCCAGACCACAAGTTGATTGTATCCAAATAAATTTTATGGGGGGTATTTGTACACACCCAAATAATTAATTGGGCTGACCCAGTACAAACGCAACTCATAATGGAGGTTCGCAGACCAGCGTGCGGCCCTGATCAGCAAGTCGGCCTATATGTCCAACCAACCCGCTGACCCAAATAACCCAGTCTAGGAAGTAACTTGTTGGGAAGGTCGGGAGAACGAATATGTTAGGATAAAGAGGTTTTTAGAGGAAATTTAGGGATAAAGTTTTTTTATTCAAATAAGATTCAAAATTAAGAAGATTTAAAGAAGATCCAAGAGAGCAGAAAAAAAGCGTCATTCACATCAATCATCTTCTTCTTTCTTTTTATTTTTTATCTGCATTACTTTCCGTATTATTTTCAGATTTTTTTAAAAAAAATCCCATTAATTCCAATTTATTTTCTAGCTTCTTTTCTTGTTTATCAGCCTTATTTTGCTTTCTTTTCATTTTAATTATTCGTTTATCGCGAGATAGACATGATCATTTCTTGAGGAGGTCCGGGAACCCTTCGAACAAATCAATTCCGACAGACTTTTTCAATTAAACCGTCTGTGACGATTTTTTACGACAATGGTTGTTGTTGGACATAGGCTGCATACAACTCTAACCGATTCCACAAAAATTTAAATAGATAACTGATTGGTTGAAATTAACAACTCCATATTCCACCGAAGGTTAAATAAATAACTAATTGGTTAAAATTGACAACTTAATAATCAGCTCAAGAAGAATCCATTTTAATTTTGAACCAGCTCAAATAGGCAGATGGTTTCAAAAGTAATGTTTTAACCAATTATAAACATATTTTCAATTGACAATTATACCATCTTAAACTTACCTACTATGCGACAAGATCATCAGCACCATGCTGAATACTTGTAAATTAATTATATGTATTTATATTAATTATATTAATTAAAGATAATTTTATATATTCAGCACCCTACTGAATTATGATATATCAGCATAGAATCCTTGCCGTGCAATAATTTATTCCAACTGAGCTCCATAAATCTCCTATAACATCCGATTTAAACCAAACCAATTTCCATATTCAATTACACAAATTTTTTACTAAATTTATTGGAAATCACCACTTTATTTTTTTCATAATTTTAAATTTACAATTATTTTATCTAATCAATTTGAATTTTAATTGAGTTTATCACTTTCATCTAATTCTCAATATTTCGACTCCATATATACTGCATTCCTATTATCGATCGTGAGAGAAATTCAAACATTTTTCTTAAATAGGACGAAAGATCCTGCAATGACACCGACATATTCACACTCGACCGACCCACGTCGAAGATCACCACTTTATTTTCTAAACATTCCAAAAATTATTTAAATAGGACGAAAGATCCGATTTAATATTGATACCGACATATCCACGGAAGATCGGATTTAATATTGACTCGATAGACAAACACCGATTAGATTGTATGATAAAGTTAATATGATCAAATTTATTAAAATATAAATTAAAACTGGGTTTGAACAAATAAAAATATAAAATATAAAAATGTAAGTAGTATATAGTTTATTCTTTTATAAATTATGCTCATCATATAATAGAAAAAATTACTCACCGTTTTTTTATTAAAAAAAACATATAATTTTTTTTTTTTATCAAATATTTAAACAAAAATAATAAAAATTACTTTATTTAAATTACACCACACTTCTCCGAAATTTTTTCATAATCTCAAAATAATTAATAAAAAAAAAAAACTCACTACCTAAAACAAGAGAGAGAAAACAAACATATATGCAAGTGAGGTTGAGTAGGACAAATTGTTTTATTATGTAAAATAACAATAATAATAATAAGATAAAAATAAAATATAAAACAAAAAAAAAAAAAACAAAAAACTACCAATCATGGTAAGAAATAAAAGTAACATACCATTATTCCTATAATCCGTAATAATAATAATTAAAAATTTTACATATATATATATATATATATACACATTACGACATTTTCCATTGGCCCAAACCGCAACAGGACTAATGCACCGCTTCTACTTGATCAGCACCATAACATAACACAACCAAACAATGCCCGCCGCGTGGACACTCCGGAAGCCGGCTCGACTATCCGAGCCGACGCCTCTAGCCGAATTGTCATTGTAGGGATAATAAAACGGCGGCGGCGGCGGTCCATAAGCTTGGCCAACGCCTCCACCCCCGCCGCCGCAGCATATCACCGGAGCCGCCGGCGGGCACTTACCCTGCTCTATATTCGGCGGCGGCGGCGGCTGGCCGTGGCAGGTTGCACAGGCGGTCGCCGGAGGCGCTAAGATGCTTGAGTCGCCGCCGGGAGGGTTGCCGTCGTCGCCGGAAATCGTCGCCGGGAAGTGCATAATTATAATGGGAAGCATAGAGAAGAATAATAGAACTGAAGGTCGCATTTTTTTTTTTTTTTAAATTTAAATTTTTAGTTTTTAATTTTGAATTTGTATTTTGCCGATGGCGAATGTGTTATATAGAAAAAATGCATGTATTTTTTTATTTAATTAAATGCCACGTGGAAGATGGGCTTGACACGTGTCGTGGAACTCGAATGTGCATGCTAAAAATAGGAAGAGTCCAGCCGTAGGCAGTAGGCACCGAATGTATAAATTTAGGTTGCGTTTGGCCTTGTTTAATTAGTTGTTATGTATTTTTTGTGTTCACAATCCAAAATAAAAATGAAAGAAATATGTCCCTATTTATATTTTAATTTTTAAATATTAATCTCAACAATTTTAATACTATAATTTACTATTTTAAAAATTAAAATTATTCGAAATAAATCAATATGTATATGTATATTGATAATTTCTATTCAATTTAAAATCTTAAAATTGTTTGAATAATATTTAATTATTATTATTATTTATTTAATTTTTGTTAAAGATAACTAATTCTTAAAAAATATAATAAATAGTAATATTTCTCATCAAATGTAACGAGAAATATAATTAATTTTTATAATAAAAAGTAAAAAGATAGTAATAAAAGTAATAAAGAAAGTGACGTAATTGTTATATAAATAATAACTTATATAATATATATGTATATATATATTGTGTGTGCTCGTTTAATGTACATATGTAAATATGCATGTGTGAGTACGATGCATATATATATATATATATACACACTAGAGGGAAGCCATGTTTTGTACAGAGTAGATATAAATTTTATTGAATTGTGAAAAATTAATTATTGTTATTAAATATATATAATATTTTAATATGAGAATTATTGAATGAATTAAAATATTTTATACGATTAATTTTTAATATTTTAAATATTGGAGACTGATGAATTATATCGATTAAATATAAATATTGCAAAAATAATGTTTATATACAATATTATTGGTGTTTATTTATATTTTTATAAGCACCTTTTAAAATTATAATTTAGTTGAAAATTGTGTAGATAGAAAATTTAAAATATTTAAACAGAGCTAAAGTCAAATTTTATTAACTTGTCACTTTCATTTTAATATAACTAAATTATAAATTAATTTTTTCATTCGGGACAATTATGCCGTATTTTTATCAATTAACTTATGCGTAATTCATTTATAATAAAAAATTATTCACCCACAATTTTGTTACCTTATTTCTTAGTTTTCTTGTCCGGATCCTGACGAAGAAAGTAAAAAAATTGTATAATCTATTTGTTTATCCTATATTGAACAATATATATTTATATCAACTAATTTAAATATTACTATCCAAAATTTGATTCATCATATTCTCAATATATTTATCTTTCTAATAGAACAAGTTATTACCTATTAGTTAATTCTAAACACCAAAAATATATTTTATTTTTTTTTATCTTTTTAATTAAATTTGACATAAAATTATTAATCCTCATAATATATCAAAATTAAAATACAAAATCAAAATTCTACCAATAAATACATCATTTATATAATAATAAATTATATTTATAAAATTATATATAAATATAATATATGCAATTGTCTATCTCCTCTTCCCATTTTTTTTTTCTCTTTATTTTTATTATTATTTTAAAATAGTGGGGAGGAAATTTTTTAAAAAAAAAAACAAAAAAAAAAAAAAATAGAGAAAGGACGTGGCGGAGCACTTTCGCCTCCAAATATATACTATCTTAGATAGTAAAAGAAGTTTATAAAGAAATACAAAGAAAATTAAGATGAGGTGATCTTAATTGAGTAATCTTGTATTCAATATTGGGTACAACAATAATCTATTTATAGGCAAATGATTGAGTAAATTGATAGTTAGAAATTATACCAATCAAACATTCACGTAATATACACATCTATACATAGTGTCTACTATCAAACATTCACATAACATAGATATTTGTTTGAAGTGCATACTATGTATACATTATGTATATAATACTTCTCTTTAAATGTTTTGTACATA